TTAAAGAAAATGTGACTTGGTTCCTGTTGACATTGCTGAACATAATTATAAAAGCCATCCTTTTAAGCTTAGCCTAATTACAGAAATTTTTTTATTTCTCAAATATGTTTAGGTAACTGAAGTTTTTTTTCCGTTCTTTTATATTTCACAATGAATCTTCTATTTTATTTTTCGAAAAACAGGCGGAAATCCCGTTTCTTCCAGTTTTTTCTTCAATGAAGCGGCTCGTACGATATGGTCTAGGATCTATGGCTATCGGCTCTCTTATTGTGTCCTTTTTAGAATCAATAAGATTCATACTCGAGGCCCTTCGTCGCAAACTTAAAAGCATTAATCATCCTATGTCCGAAAGCTGGTTTCGAAAGGTGACTTACCAAACTTCACAAGGTTGCTTGAGGTTTATCAGTTGCATCATCAAATCTGTGAACCGTAATGCTTATATCATGGTAATAAGCTCATTTGCATGATATTTTACCAAAAAAGTTGATTTTTCTTGCTTTTTAACAACTCCCTTTTCTCTTTTTCTCTGATAAATCTTTTTGCCAGATTGCAATAACCGGAAAAGGTTTCTTTAAAGCCTCTGAAATTGCAACAGAGCTGATTATGAGTAACATCCTTCGAATCGGAAAAGTGAATGTGTTAGGGGATGTCATTCTTTTTATCGGAAAGCTTTGTGTTAGTCTTACAAGCGCGCTCTTTGCGTTCTTGATGTTGAACACTCACAAGTACAATTCGGCACATAACAAGATCTCTTCACCTCTATTCCCTGTCCTGGTAAGCCGATTTTAAGGATCGTTATTATGGTTCTTTAACCTCATGGATAACAACAAATATGCAAATCACGTGTTTGTATACAAATATATCCGCTCAAAATGAGTTTTTTTGGTTAACCACAGTTAAGTTTGAAAAAAATGGTATGGTTAGTTGTTAGTGGGATTTTGATTATATATTAAAATAATATTTAAAATAAAATAATTAAAGTTGATTTGATGTAAAAGTAAGAGAGAGATGATGAGAAGTGATGGTTGGTTAAAAATTTAAAATTATCTGAGTAGATGAACAGTGAATTATAGTTGATGTAATGTCTAAGAATGATTGGGTGATATTATTTTATTATATTGATAATATTGAGGATAGTTGAGTTGGATTAAAGTTGAGTTATATTTTGAGTATGAATTGAGTATCAAAATTGAAAAATTTCATAAACAAAAACACCCTCAAAAGGATTTAAGAAAAGGAAAAGGAAATCTTAAACTTTTGATCATCATGATTAAATAGGTGTGCTGGGGATTTGGGTACATTGTGGCTACTCTCTTCTTTGGGGTGGTTGAGATGTCAATCGACACCATAATTCTCTCGTTTTGCCAAGACTCGGACGAGCATCAAGGCACTGCCCAATATGCTCCTCCGCTGCTTATCGAGACTCTCAACGACCAAAACGAGATGCAAAGGCTGACCCAATGAGCCATTTTTAGACAAAAAAGCAAAAGTGTATTCTTTCTAGTTATAACTCGATTTTTCGGGCTTATATGATCATTAGTTTGTATATATATGGGTTGAATTTGAAAGATAATCTTGGTTTAAAGGAATCCAGCACAATGATGTGTTGTGAATTTTTGTGATGGTGTCTTGAATTTCAGTTGTGTATGAGAAATGAGAATTTGGAGGAAAGATTTT